AAAAAAATAATGAAGTCAAGTTGTTGACTGCGGCCGAAGTTCGTCAGCAAGTAGAGAAACAAAAAAAATCTCGTTGGAATTTCGAAAAAATATTGGCTCATTCTTCTAGCGAAGAGGCAGTTAAACCATTACAAAAATTACTAGGTCCTAAAGGGCTTTATCCGACCAAAAAAAACGGTTCTCTAACCGAGAGTATATTACAAGAAATTGCTAAATTTCAACAAGGAGAAACAGAGTTAAAGACCGACAAAGGAGGTAATATTCAGGCCGTAATCGGCAGCAGCAATTTTAGTTCCGAGCAATTGGCCGAAAATTACACAACGATATATAATAAAGTAACCGAACTAAAACCAACCGGTTGAAAAGGAGAATTTCTGAAAAATGTAACTCTTTCTACTACTATGGGTCCGGGGTTGAGAATATTGAGATAGAATAAAGTTTGCTTACTGTCATTTTTTATTAACTCCTAGGCCTCTCTAATCTCTAATTCTTGATTGTTTTCATTAAAAGTATACATCAAATTGTTGGGGCTAATGTGGTCGACTTTTCCATAGCGAGCGATGAAAGCCCTATCAAATTGTAATTTGCCTTGGCTCATTAGTTCCTTAATTTGCGGGTGGTTTCGGCTAATATAAAAAAGTCTTAAATCTTCTCTATTTTGTTTTCCGAAAAAATTATTAAAAGCCACCTCTTCGTTATCGGCCTCGCCAACATAGCGAAGTTTTATTTCGGTTTTACCGGTTGGTGGGGGATTACGGTCGGGTTTATCGTTATTTTCCAACTTCTCCCTAATTTCTTTAATTTCCTGCTTCAACTGCCGGATAGTCGATTTATCCGGGTTAATCAGATTTTTCACTTTATTTTCTAGTGCCGTTATTGTATCCTCTAATTGGTTTTTTTGCGGGTCATTGGTTAAATTATTTAGTTGATTTTTGACCGTGTTTAGTTGTAATTTTAATTGTTGGATTTCAGAATTATCGCTGGGCGATTGGTTATTTTTAGAGGAGGACAGTTGGCTTTTGGCAGACACCTTTCCCAACCAAAAACTGCCGCCAATCAAGACCACCGCCCCAAGGAGAATGCTAATGATTACTAATGTTTTTTTTTTTTTTTTTGCAACTGTCATATGACTATGTAATATGTACTATTATTATAATATTTGCTCCTTGTTAATTAATGATAATTTGGTGCACTTAGGAGGAATCGAACCTCCGGCCTCTTGCTCCGCAAACAAGTGCTCTATCCACTGGGCTATAAGTGCTTCATAATTAAATTTTACGCTCTGCGGCCTTCAGCATCTATCAGAAATAACTCTTTTTTCAGGCCAATCTAGACTGACAAAATTTTCAAAACTTTTCTTGTGCTTGCTCTATTTTTATTATTCATTTTTGCTTTCTAATTCTTTCAATTTGATTTCTAATTGTCTTTTTTCTTGACGACCCTG